TTATAAAAATGAACGCCTATTCGTATGCAACCCTCCAGACACACTTTGAAAATGTTGCTTGCGACCGCCATCTATTGGGACGGAATTTTTTTCTGCCCGAAAAAAGGCAATCCGTCATACATACGTGTATAAAGAGTTGTGACTGCAAAAAAAATTCCGTCCCAGTAGATGGCGCTCGCAAGCAACATTTTCAAAGTGAGTCTGGAGGGTTGCATTCATACAGGCGCGAATTTTTATAATAATTACAAAGACAGTAAATAATAAAACACTTTGAAAAATGTTTGCAAATCAAATACTTTTGTAAATAATGATATAAATTGAACTCTAACATTGGTATTAACTTATACATATTTTTAGAATAATATTTAGTATTTTTTATGAAATAAAAATAAAAAATCATGTATGCAATCGCACACAAACACACACATATACAACCTGGAGCGATAACTACGAAGCAAAACATAAAGAGGAGTCCGAGAATAGGAAAAATTATATAGCTATATTTGTCTCATTCTCTCGCAGGCTCAATTCTATATGTTTGTCTCTTTTTCTCTTCTTATTTAGTATTAAGGTCATGTCTTTCCATCAGTACATCCCGATTTCGTTTTCCCATTACATCACTGCGTTTCATTTTTTTCAAATCACACCCATTCTATAGAAGTTTTTACTTCAATAAATAAAATAATAAACACAGACACATTTTTTTGTCTTTTGTTTAATTTAACCATGTAATATCGCTACGTATTAAAAAAAAAAAAAAAAGCAGAAAAAATAAGAAGAATATACGAGCGAGACGTTACAGTTATAAAGGTGAATATCGCTTACTTTTATTTAGCAGAAACACGGGAGTCGAAGAAATGAGCTACGTGCTCGGTATTCTCAATTTTCTCTAAAAGATAGAAGGAAAAGGTGCTTATCCTTTTCATTGAACAGATCGTTTAATTATCAAACCACTAATGTAAGATAAAGAAAGATTTGACGAGAGAAAAACTTAAAACGATATTCTCTTCATCGATGATTCTATCTACTTTAATAACAATCAATTAATGCAAAACGAATCATTCGTTTGTATATTTGGTCGATTTGAATTTTTAAAAACGTATACTTTCCTCTCTCTCACATATCGCAAACAAAAAAAAAACAATAATTAAATAAATACAAAAAGTAATATTAAATTATAAAGAAACAATACGCAACGTACCATGATTCACAGTCATGTGTGTAGAACAAAATAAAATTGGAAAACTGTTTCTTTCTTATTTTCATCCAATTTTATTTTATATTTGCAATCGAATCTGCGTAGTTGCATGTGTCAAATGTGAAACTTTTCGTGAAATACAAAAATATTCATAAAAATAAATAAAAATAAGAGAAAGGGGAAAAAGAGAGAGAGAGGAAATCTGTTAAAAATTGGATAATTTAAAAAATATAAAGAGCACACACAAACTCGTACCAACGCAATTAATATAAACATATGTTCAGAATATTCATTAATGTAATATCGAATAAATAAATAGAGAGTCTCATGAGAGAAATAGAGATTAATTTGATGTTTGTGGCAAATTCCATATCAGTTATCATGTCACCTTTTTGACCTATGATCGAAATGAGGTATATAAAGCGAGCTCTGTTAACTTAAAGAAGATCCTATCGCGAATTGACTCTTGGAAATATCATTTAGTGTTTGAATTTTCAACTTTAATAAGTGTTAAAACAAGTTAATCAAATCGATATGAAGATCTTTCACTTTATATACTTATTCCTCGTCATTTTGACCTACATTTCTTTCACCAATGCGGGTAAGTACTAATTATTCTTTATCAATCTTCTATCATTGTTTTTTTTTTCTCATTTTTGTTCTGAACAATAAAAACGTACGGAAGAGAAAAATATTATTGTTCTACGATAATCAATTGCACGTCTGATGCATTGATTTTTTTTTTTTTTTAATCTATTACACCTTTTCAACTCATGCATTTCTCATCATCTTTCTCTCGTTGTAATCTATTGTAATACGATAAAAAAAAAAAAAAATAAAAATTACACACAAAGGACAAATCTTTGAGATTAAACAATAAATATTCAATTAATTCATAGTTGTCGTCATACTTGTTAAAGTAAATCCAATTAATACGTAGAATAAATATACGTTTATTGACAATAAATAAAGTCAATTTATACGCTTTGTGTTTTTTAACGAGACATTAAATAGAATTAAAATAGAAATCTTTTACAGCCTGCACGGAAGATGAGTGTAAAGCCGCTTGCAAACACGTTGGAAATATTCCCGGTGGAAAAGGTGGCAAGTACTGTGTCGATGGTGCTTGCAAATGTGCTATGGTGCGTCCATAATGATTCAAAGGCCTCTTTTTTAACGACGATACTTATCAATGTATATCAATAATCAGGATGATCAAACGACGCCCTAGTCGTTTGTCATCGAAAATGTCCTTCTCTATATGTAAATAAATATTTTAAAATATAACGTCAAATAGATTTAATCATTTTCAACAGCTGTATTAACTCGCAACATTGATCAAAAAAAAAAGAAAAGGAAAAACGAACAATTATTAGCAAATATATAATTTTTATGAAGTTAAAAATGTATAAAGTGGATAAAAAGAAAAAATAGATTTTTACACCCGTTTCGTTTATCTTTGAACAATTTAATTAGAATATAATATAACAGATAAATCTTTCGTAGTAATTATAACGCAATATGCGTTGGATAAAGAAATTTTGTTATCAAACGAACGAATAAATGAAAAAGAGAAACAAATTTAAACAGTTAAAACAAACACAAAGAAAGAAAGATATTATACAATTTGTTAATAACTTTTTTCTTTATAATTTTTAACACCTTCTACATCTGGCGTAATGAATTTCAGCTAGAAATACGAGAAAACATCCAATTAGACCAATAAACAATCCGATAAATGTTAACGAGTAATGTTCCAAAGTAAGTTTTTTCTTTCTCTCGCTCAATTGCAATTTCATTTTGGCATCCTCGACGAATAAAGGATGTGTCATTTCCTCATACCAAAAGTTAATGAACCCAAATTGTTGCATCCTCAGTAGCAAGGTATTGATCCTTTCAGTGTAAGGTGAATTAAGTTTAATCACGTAAGAAAGCGTATAAGTAACTGGACACTCTTCGACAACATGGATTAATTTGTTACCATCGTCGTCGTAATAAACCGAGTAATTTTCCAACTTGATTGAGGTAAATCGACCTAATGCAATAAAACTACGATCGAACGCTACGAAATAATTCGTTGGTTTATCCGAATTAAGTACACTGATTTTACTTCTAAGTTTTGTGTCCAATGGATCGTCACCGATGAAAGTATCCTCTTTTAAATTTAAATATTTCGTAACTATCGTATAATTTGAATCTGCTACATCCTCGATAGTATTAATTTCTGGATATCTCAATGGTTTGCTAAGTGTCCACATGAGCCAATTGTTGTATAATCCAGCGATTACTAATCCGAATAATAAAGAACCACAAAGAAAAATTCTAAGTGCTGGGGTGTATGCTCTTTCGAATGGATAACAAAATAATATCATTAATTCTGTACAACCAATCACGTATGGATGAATCTCTGGTGGTGATTTTTCTTTATTTATTGAACGAGAATAATCGTTCCTTTTCGAAATAACATTCGATAACTTTTCTTTACGAATATCCCATAAATCTTTACTCAGAGGACAAGTGATTGGTTTGTCATTACGAATGGAATAACTCAAATATTTCAAAATTACCCAGAATATTGTAACAAAAATGTTATAAAATATTAATAGTATCCATAATTCTTTTGTAAATGGTAAAAATGGCATATAAGATTTTGGTAAGTATCCTCTGGTTGGTGCAATGAAACAAAGCTTGTCTACTTCTATGCCAACCGTAAATTCATATAGAAAAGAATCATTGTAAATTTTAATAAAAAGACTGGTTAAAACGAGTTCACTCTTATTATCTTCAATATTTCGTAAGGATTCGTGAAAGGGATCAACGTCATCCATTTTGTACAATACAGTAACGATGAAATTAGTGTTCATGCTATTCTCCAATGTGCTCATCACTTTGGCATCCAATTTGGTGTAACGGATTACGTTGTTTTCGTCTACGTTAATGTTCATCATCATTGATGGAAAAACAGTTACTTTAATCGGATAACCATTTATATTTTCAAAAGTTTCGAACAGATTTATATTTTCCGATAAAACAGAACTGAACGAGTTCGTTTGATTTCTCGTATTGTATTCTTCGAAATCATCGAAACATAATTTATGTACTTTACCATAACCATTTGGTATTGATTCGAATGGATGATAATTTAAAAAACATTGAAAATGATCGATAATCGATGTAACGAGTATTCGATAAACATGAAATTTGAACCAAAGTTCTTGAAAAATTGTTTTCCACGTTTTTCTTGAGATTTCTTCTTCACCAAGGAAAATAATCAAATATTGATTGTTCGGTTTCCATAATTTTTCGTGTAAGAAATGTTGAAGTTGACGAAGATCATCGATAGGTAAAATCCAAGTTAATTGAAATTGATCCCTCCAAGTACATTTTGTAACAAAATCATTGGCATTTATCCGATAACCTTGAATAAAATCGATCGCTATTTGATGCAAGAGAGACTCAAGTATGTACGATTTTGTATCGAACAAAAGCAATGAGACCATAAATGGTTGAAATTCCTTAGAATTATGCACATAATTCAATATACGTTTGAAATTCTCCGTTCTTTGAATGGTCAATTGTGATGTTAGTTCAGCCACATTGTTACTTTGAATATCATCAAATTTAGATTGTATTTCACTCGGTATAATTATCAAGCAAATGATCAATCCAATGTAAAGATACATCATCTTTAATCAAAATTACAGATGACGTATGAGTAATTACTCGGATTCACGGTTATTCGTATATTTTTTATCTCTAAAAATCCCATTTATCGTACGCATGTTCCTTCCGTGTTGTTTAGTTTTAATCCTTTGACTGTTCACCTGTGTGTAAAATAAAAAGAGGATATAAAATACCGAATAAAAAAAAAAAAAAAGAAAAAAGGCTTTTTTTCATCAATTTTTCGTTAATGTAGGTCAAAAGGAAAGCAAACCCACGCATTTATATACATATATATATATAAACATATAAACGCATAAACACACGTGGTTAGAATTTTGTCAACAAAAGTTATTTTGATCAGAAATATCCTTCAATGATGTCATTTAACGGGGGAAAAAAGAACGAAACAAAATTTGGAATTATTTTTAGAAGACATTTTTGTTATAAAGTAAGTATAAATAAACATGTGTAGGATATAACATGGGAAAAATGTTCTTCGAAAAGGTTTTACGGTAAAATATACATATATATATATATATAGTTTATATGAAATTAGAAGAACAAACAAAACCGAGTGGTGTGCAATTGTGTGAGAAAATTCTTTACGATTTGTCAAATAATTCTAAATAAATATTTAACCGATTATTTTCACAACTATGATAATTATGATAATGATGATGATTGATGACACGTAAATACACGTACTTTTAGTATGACAAGTATTACTTGTGGCAAGTACAATTTTCGTGGTTTACTTCGTCCTTCTTCTAAGACAATTTTATCGAATTTTGCACTGTTTGTACGTGTCCCTCTATACTCGAACGTAACTTCGAACTAACTCGAGTGACTTGTTAACTTGAAAAAAAGAAAAAGAAAGAAAGAAAAACAAAAAATAAAAAGGAAAGAAAGAAAGAAAGAAAGAAAGAAAGAAAGAAAGTAAGTGTAAGGAAAAGAATCCGTTTATGAATCGTCAAAGTAAATGGGTAAACACGACTATTGACATTTGTTCACTTTTATTTGACGTCTCGTAACACGTCCAAAGAGATATTCGTCTTCCAGTAAACTCGTGTTAGGATTAAACCGTAAAAAGCTCGACTATATCCGAACGGGATAATGATCGTATATGTATACGAGTAGGGAAATAAATAAATAAATAAATAAATGAAAGGGATCGATTAAAAATGTCAACCCTTATATGCACATATTTATTTAGATCTTTTCATTGAGATTATATGAATGAAATTAATGAAAAATACTCCTTTACCCCTTTTTTTTTTTTATTTGCATCTGGATAAATAATACATCAATTACACGAACAAGACGATAGCACGGATCTTATCTTACATAGGGACATTATAATATTAGAAGTTCAAGGACAATTCCGAGTAAGATACGTGTAATCATAGTTGATTAGAAAAAGAAAAAATAGAAAAAAATAATTGGATCAAAATCTTTGATATTCTCCCACTACTATTCTTCTATTTTAAAGTCATATTTATTATTTATAAAAAGAAGAAGGAAAATAAGGAAAAAATAATTATGATTATATTTGATTATTGCAACGATACGATTAAATGACATTTACTCGAATGATCAGACAGATGATTCTTTTAAAAGTATCTTTTAATTAAATAGAAAAGATATAATTTTCGTAAAAGTTTTTGTTATTGATCGTTCAAATTGATCTCATTTATTTAATTCCCATATCGAGATAACATAATTCTTTAAACGATATCAAAAATCGTGAAAAATAAATATAATTATAATTAAATAGAAAAATATTAGTTAATTATTTATTAAATAAATATTATTTTATTAAGTAAAAAATAAAAGAATAAATATAATTAATATTTGTTAATGTTCAAATTGATCTCATTTATTAATTCCCATATCGAGGTAACATAATTCTTTAAATAATATCAAAAATCATGGAAAATAAATATAATTATAATTAAATAAATAATATAATTAATAATAATAATTAAAATTAATAATAATAATAATAATAATAATAATAAATAAATAAATAATAATATTAATAATCTATTTTATAATCTCTTTATATTATATACTATAATATGTATTATATATATATTTACTATTATAATATTATATTAATATTATTATTATATAATAATTATTTTATTAAACAAAAAATAAAAAAAATAAATATAATTAATGAAATATAATTAATATTTGTTTATATTTAATTATATTAATGTAAAAATCCTGTGAGAATATTTTTATTCGAATCTTTAAAATTTGATAATTTTCGATATAATAATAATAATAATAATAATAATAATAATAATAATAATAATCTCGGCAAGAAACAAGCAGATTCACCGTTCATTGAATTCAAGAATTCAATTAACGATGATACGATGGAACGGACTCTAATTAGATTAAAGTCTCGCTAAAACTATAATTATACTCTCGAGTATAGTGAATTTCGAAGAAAGAGAGAGACAGAATGATAGAAACAAGTAGAAACAGGAGAAGAAAGTTAGCAAATGGAAAGGCTTTGAACAATTCGATTAATCAAGCTTTCCTTTTGTTTAAATAAAGTTCATTTTTAATCTTCATAAAAAGGAGGGATGTGATATAAAATCATCCTTTTGTAGAGAAAATATATATGATAAAGTTCTCTCTACACTTCTCTTTTACACTTACCGTTTTAACTCCTACATAAAGAATTCTACAAAAAAAAAAAAAAAAAAAAAATAGGAGGGTTTTTTTTTAGAAACCTTGAACAACTTTAGAAATGGCGTTAACCCTTTAATTAAAGTAAGTGGATGTTTGAATGAAAAACGTCTGATCGATTGTACTTATTGTAACATGTTCTTTCATTGACGTTAGCACCTTTTTAATTTTATTTCACTTTTCGTAAATGCACGTTGTTACGTAATGCATTATCCATTTATTTCGATAAATCGACATATTTATTAAAATATTTGTATTCTTTTTGATGAATGAAAAAGTAAAGGTGTTATTTATTTTTTATTAAGTAAAAGTAATTACTAAAGGTTAGTATATACATATATATAGGTGTATAATAAATATTTTTCTCGAAATGAGTTATAATTATTTTAATATTTTAATATTTTAAATAGACGGATCAATATTTGGAATGTTGGCGTTAATTTAAAGTTAAAAATAGATACAGAATATAAATATATTGATATTTTATTGAAAATACAGACAATTTCTGTATTAATCAGTATATATGATACTTACTACTCTTACATTACATTCTAATATTTATTACAAATATTAATCGTTAATTTTTAAAATATTGACCTAATAAAACGTTATAAATAATTGTTTTCTCTTTTACAATATCAAATGCATGTTCTCATCGTTAACGTTAAATTATCATAATGTTTAATTTTTTTTTTTTTCACATATCACGTAAATACTCGTCGTCTCAAAGAGAAAATTGTTATTTTTGTCATAACGAGTATCCTTGTCATACATAGATGATTGAAAAATATTGAAATGCATTTATCATTGAATCACTTATTTATTGTTAATAATCCTTTGACATTTAATTCGTTTTTAATCGTTGTTTTTGAAAAAGAAAAAAAAACGGAAATGAGAAGTGAAATAAAATAAAAGGCCGATAATAATTTAACTTGAAATAATCTTTCGATCTTCTCTATAAGAAAACATTTGTTCCTGTTGACAATATTCGCAGTGTTAAATCCTCGATAAAAATAATGTTTCAATGTAATGACATGGTAGATGGTACTTCAGGATTTGATCGAAGAGGAGAAACGTGGGGTTTAACGAGGGAGGGTTGAAGAGTCAATAAAAGTGACGGTGTGCAAAATAAGCACACATCGAGTCGAGCTTTCGTAGTGTAATAACGAAGAAAAAGGAAGTGTCTTAAAAAGGATATAATATATTTCTTTAGTAAACATAGAAGAAAAGAAGAAAATACGCGTAATTTCATTGATAAAAAAAAAATAAAGTTTCATTTATAAAACGATAATGTGATCTAAAACAAGGACATAACAAAAAATATGTTCAATTAAATTCTTCTAATATAAAATGTATAAAATAATCATTCTTATGATTATTATTTTACGTGTAAAAATTGATCAAGGTTATAGAATATTAATCGACGAAAAACAAGAAAATGCTATTAAATTTTGGATAGATGCTGTGTGTCATACGCGAACGATCAAATTTGTTCACATATTAGGAATGTTAACCAACGATTCGTCAACTAATTATTTAAATTTATTTTTAAACGGTCTCGTAAATGGTATAAATCAAAATAAATGCGAAACTACGATATTTTTAAACAAATATTATATGGATAATTCTAGAAAAAAAACGAATTATAAACGAAACGATAATTTATCGTTCAAGAAAATATCATCATTGAAGAATTCGCTTGAAATTAAAAACAGATTGAAAGTTATCAACGATTTAGGAAGCAATAGAAAAATAAGAAGAAGAAAAAGAACAAGTGTAAGAGAAGATGGTATTATAGAAACGAGGACAACAAAAAATTTCAACCTATGGTCATTGCACGTGATATTGATAAAGGACGAACGTTCGATGGAGCGAATTTTGAATGGAAAAGAGTCAACCCACTGGATGTCTCGGTTACACTTCATCGTACTTATAATCTCAGATGACGGTTCAATCGAAGATAATAAATTCGAGGTGACGATCGAACGCATCTTAAAAATGTTTTGGTTAAAACGTCAGATATTAAACGTCTTGGTATTCTTACCCTTATCAAAAAAGGATGAAAATGTCACCTACGCATACAATCCTTTTGTATTAAACAATGACAGTGGTACGGAATTAATTGTAACCAATTTTTTTAATATCTTTCCAAATAAACACAGTTATTTTCTTTTCTATTTTTGTCTCACATTATCGTAGTTATTTCAGAACGAGGTAAACTCGAGTCCATTAACGTTATATCAAAGGAAGACATATTTCAATGTTTATCAACGTTAAATCATCGTCGTACGAATAATTTGTATGGATACAAATTAAACGTAGGTCTCTTTCAACAATATCAAACATTAATGAAAACTCAAGAGATACCATTAAAAGGCTCAGTTTATGAATATTCTCTGGGATATATGGGTACCAATGCAATGATCATGGGAACAATCGCTAAATATATGAATTTTACGGCTAATGAGATCAATCCAGATGATAGAATTAAATTTGGACACGAGTTACCAAATGGTACTTTAGTTGGAACTTTAGGTAAGAGTAAATGAAATAATATTATAAACTTGTATTCATTTGGTCAACATTTGTTAATAATTTTTAATCGTTATTTCAAACGAATGATGAAAATTATACACAGATTTATACAAAAATTGTAATTTCATATTAAAATGTATATGTTATATATTTTAGTAATTTATTTTTATAAAATACTAACCAAATGAATAAAATAAAATCTCAACAAATTTCTAAATATAAGAAAATAAAAAAAAAAATCAAAGAATCCTTTTATATTTCAAATTGGATTCGTCGTATATTATATAAGAATAAAGTTACTTACTCAGGCATTTGGTTTTTGTCAGGTGATATTGCCTATGGCAGAGCGGATGTAACATTTGCGTCTTTTTTCGTCAAACCCTATAGCAAGAATAAACATAATTTTGAATTTACCAGCCAGACGGGATATGACAGCATCTGCGTGTTCGTACCTAAAGCTCGGAAAATACCGAAATGGCTTCGAATACATCACATGTTTGAACCCTCCATCTGGTTTTGTTCAATAGTTTCACCAATTATCGTCTACCTAATGTGCTACGTGCTACTGTTATTTACGAGCCAAAGGTAATGACATGCTCAGTTAGATTCTATCTCACTTTATACACGACAAACTTTTTAAATAAACAAATAAAATATACACTGTATTTATCTATTGAACGAAAAAAAAAAAAAAAGAAAAAAAATACTAACCCGAACGTGTTTGATATTTTACAACAACAAAAAAGAAGAAAAAATACATAAAATCGAAAATGGCGTTATTAAAAGCATTGATTCTTTTTATATATATAAAATATCCTTGATATAAATGAGAGATTCCTCATTGTTAACATTAAGGACACATATGATTGTAACCCACGATAAATACTGATCATTACTCATTACTGATATAAATACTTAATAAGAATTTGATAAATTAGACAGTCCCTCCTTTTTTTTTAATGAATTTTTATACATTAATTTATTCTCATTTATTTCAACACCTTGTAATTTTTCTCTTTTATATATATATATATATATTTTTTTTTTGTTTTTGTTTCATTGTATTCCTTGATTTTTTTCTCTTTTTAGAACAAAAATTTTCGATCGAATAAAGCTCGCTTACAAAGTATTCCAATTCACCGTTGGATTTCCAACGAAATTACCACGTTCCTGTCCGGAAAGAATACTTTTATCTACTCTCTCAATCACAAACGTTACAATAGCTGGATTGTTTGGAGGACTATTGTACAAAAGTTTAACCAACGATATATATTACAAAGATATCGATTTATTATCTGAATTAGATGCTTCCGGATTACCAATTGTTTTTATGAAATACAATTTAGTGGACGTGTTTGCTGACGAATCTACAGGATCACCTGTATTAAATAATTTAAGAAAAAAATATAAATATGGCATGAGAGCGTTACACGATGCATCATTTTTTCGAAATGCAAGTGGATTAATTAGGAAGAAACATTATTATTTAACTGAACAAAATTTGTTGAACGATGATCTGTCACCTAAATTACATCTGGTCAAAGAATGTCCACGTAATTCATTCATTTTGATTCAATTATTATTGACTTAATAATTTGAATATTGTTGGTATTGTATTCTCATTTCTTTTTGGTTCTCTTTCAGGTAATTATTATTTGGCATATCCAATACGAAAGAATTCGTATTTGCTCGAAAAGATCGATCTTCTAATTTGCAGATTACACGAAGCTGGTTTAGTGACATTGTGGAACAATCGTACCGTAATGGATTTACTTTACCATGGAAGAAAAGCTTCATCGAGAACGCAAGTACATGCGGAAAACAAATTTGTTCCGTTTAATTTGGAAGACATGCAGACACCATTCTATTTGCTAATAGTCGGACTATTACTGTCATCAATCGTTTTCTGCGATGAGAAAGGATGGTTCAAGCTATTCGTCAAAGATAAAAAAAGACGGCCAATTGTATATAGTAAAAGAAAACAAAAATTCTTTCTTCGAGAAATGAAATTTTTTACAATTTTTTCATCTGTTGAAAAAAACAATTTCAAAGACTAATTAAAAAAAAAAAAAAAATGTTTCTCATTTGATCAATCGAATTTCTGACGATACTCTATTACGTTTCTAAGCATGAAATGTAAATCATCATAAATCCGATAAATTACATATTCTAACTTTGAAATTATTAAACAAATATATAACTTGCGGTAATTTGTACACGTCCGACGTAAACGTCATAACTTTAAATGATTCTATATGTAATTGAATTGTATTGTTTCATCGCTATAAAATTATTAATTAAATCAAATTAAATAGAAAGAAAAAAAAGTGTTCTTTAATGATACTGTAGAATGGGTTAACGTATATCATAAGTTTTCCAAAAGTTTTGCGATTTTCCAGCTTATCCACGTATAAGTGCAGTTTCATTCGGCAACAAAAGTACAAGGAAATGGGGATTTATTTTAAGATGATCTTAAAATACTCTCAACACTATTTCTCTCGGAGACGGTTAGCCAGTTGAGTGTCGTTGGTCGTTGATGAGTTATCATGGTACTTCTCACGAATCATATATTTACTATTTTAGCGATAATAAGTTTCATATGTAAGTATATCGATTATTAAATATTAATAATAATAATATAATATAAATAGGTAGTATATATTAGTATTAGCATTAGTATTTCTATGGTATTTCTTTTTTTTTTGTTCAATAGATAAATGCAGTGTATCATTTTTTATATATATTATAATATTATTATATTATTTATTTTATTATTATTTATTATTTAATATTTATTTAACTTTGTTTTATCTAACGGAAAAATCTAAATTGGTAGAAAAAATTATTTAATAAAAATAAAAATAAAAAACAGGTAGCGCAATCGTGTAAATATATATTTATAGAAGAAATTGGTTGTATTTTTGTTATCAGGGATATCACCTAGTTGGACATGGAACTTGAACGATCGTCGATACGATGGATATGATCTTGAAAGAGGTCCAGTCTTTTACGAAGCTTACTATCCGGAAAATAATGATAACAATCCAAGCGAATATCAAGAAAAACGTTATTTCGATCGTGATCCAGTAATAGAGAGAACCTTTCAAATACCCACTGACAGAAAAGAATATATGGAAGATAGATCAAAGAATGAATATCTTGATCGTTTAGAATATTTAAGATACGATAATTCTTACAATCCCGATCCAAAATTATCAAGAATACAAAATTATCCGAGAACAGAATCATCGAGGAATTATGAAATCCCACGTAAATTCTACGACGTTAATTCTTTTTCTCCGAATTATATGAGATTAATTCGAAATATTCCGGATGATTCGTTGACTACGAAAAACATTGACAATTGGAATACATTGGGTAATTATTATTTACGTTTTGATCCGAATTTCGATAAAAGTGACATTAATAGTAGATCAAACTTTCGTGGAATACCAGATCGAAGTTTTTTAAATCAAGAAAATATGTTTGAGAAGAGAAACGATGAGAAAAATGTTGAATCTATTCGAGATATTCAACAAAATTTGTCTGCTGCATCACCAAGAGCTATACAACCTTTAGAAATATCTAAAGAATTTGATTCGATAAGAAGATTGTCACCGAGAGATTTACAAAATCATAATTCGTTCGATACAATGAATTCTATTAATTATATAAGATATCCGGGACAAGAGTACAACTATATTGGAAATAGAAATGACCCAGAAACTGAAAAGTGGATTCCCCAAAATCTTTCAAACGAACAGATGGAAGGAGGAATTTCAAGAAACGTTAATTCGTTACCATCGGAAAATATATTTGCCCCGAGACCTCAAGTGATCAATTATGTTTTTTCTAAGGATTCCTCGATCGAACGAACCGAGAAACCAATTACGACAATCAAGGAAATAACAAATAACGATGAGCCACGTAAATACGGTGACAATCTTTTGCAAGAGGAATTAAATAAGGAAGAAGAGAACAAAGATAATAATAATAATAATACAAAAGTTACGTCGATTGAAATCAGTGAAGTACCCAGACACAAAATACGTCATCATCATGGAGAATGGCTACGTAATTTTTCTCGTGGACAAAATTAATTTCTGATATCGAGTGTTAATTAAGTTTACAAACAAAATAACTTTAAACGAGATTTTACTTACGATAAGATTTTCAATTAAATTACATCGCTCTTTTTAAATATAAAATTAAAATCTTATGCGTTATGTTCGGTAAGTTGATCTTTAAAATCCATCCACTTCGAACAGCACATTTATTATTACATATCTTTTTTATAATTATACAATTTTCTTTGTAACAGTGTAGAATATAATATCGCTATAAGGAGACATTGTCCCGTGATAATTATGATTAAATATCGAAAATACACTTCTCATAAATGAAGATTAACCCCTTAAGCAGCACGCTCGAGTTAACTCGAGTGCACTAAATCGGCCGATTTCCGCACGCTCGAGTTAACTCGAGCGACGTATTATTCTATATTTCTATGAATTTTTACATTTAAATATAATAGAAAATTGAAAATAAGAATGTGAAAGCAAAGAAAAAGAATCGTATTTTTCCGAAATAGTAATTCGAAAAGAAAGATTAAAAAATCGACGTACGTGTAACATTGCATTATTCGGCTTTTCTCTGTAATGTGGAACAAAATCCAAAATTAGCATAAAAATATTGATTATTTCTGTATTTAAAAAATTTTTTGGTCAAAACAATGTTCTAAACTATGTCTTTATGCAAAACAAGAAAATTTTTTTTTTGGCCGTTTTTTTTTTTTCAAAATCGTTGCCGCTTAAGGGGTTAATTGATTGTATAAAGAAAAGAAAAGAAAATAGTTATCATGTAAAATTATTACTGTAAAATTAATACAAGTAATTACAAAATATACGATAAAATCTATCACGATAGATTATCTTTTTTTTATGATAAGTGTGTACACTTAATGTAATGATTTATTTCAATGTAAGTACCAATGAGTAAGCCAAACGATAGATTAAATTTAAGCACAATAAACTTATAATTAATAATAATCTATTAGAATATTTTGAAATCTAATCACTGATCAACAATGTTTTTTCGAGATTTCTTATTATTTTGAATGCTACATAAAAATATTAAAGAGATTAAAAATACTTGGTAACTAAAAAATTCGACAATTATAGATGTAATGTAAAAATAGAGAAGGAAAATTATTTCTAAAATTAGTAAAAAGAAAAAATAAACCACGATAGTTTATGTCAATGAATATAAATATTTAAAAATGACAGAGATGGTCTAATCTTAACATAGATAAAAATAAAAAATATATCCTACTTTGGCACCTTCATCTACCAATAGTAATCCCTTAAACTAAAAAGGGAATGTTTGTACTATTTTAATAACTAATGAACAATTATCTCTTTTGATACATTTAGATAAAAGATAAATAATTATGTTTATATTAACATAAAATATCGTTCATCAAAATGCTATAAAAGATATATGATTTTAGATGTAAAGGCAAGTACAAGACAAAGCCAGAAGTACTTCGCAAGTAACCTACACTATTGGAACACAACTTCGTTTGGTGAATAATCTCAGTTAGCTATATCTAGATTGTTACATTTTATTCACAAAGTTTTCTATATGTATTCTTGCCTATTTAAAGATACTATTATTTCATACAAATTTAATCCAAACATAAATGCTATTTTTATTTTTAATTGCATTTGTACGAGACATTTAAACTTGTTTAGGTGAAAAATATATATAACTGTTTAATAGTTCTTTCTTTTTAAATCTTTCTCACAACTATAATATAAATCATAGTTCTCAATATTTATACGTGGGCACTATTATCAGGTAAATATTCTGATGAATTTCTTTAAATCTTAACAAGTCAATTTAGTGTCTCTTTGTCTCTGTCTCCCTCTTTTTTTTTCTCAATGATTCTCTCATTTTTTGTTTTATCTATTTATGCTATAAATATTTTCATTACATATCCTTTTTTATCTATTATGATAAACATTATTTAAACCGTTTTATATAACATAATAGGCGCGCGGATAATTTTAAATGAGAGACTCCAATACCTGTTTTATGTATTGATATTCCATTTGTAGGAGATAAATTCACGCAACTTCTCATAAGCTTTACCAAGATTATCATTCTCTATCACAATGTCAAAATTTCCTGGTTGTTTACCTGTAATAAATATAAATACAAATTACAAAATCAAATTTTCATTGTATTTTACACTTCTATTTATATGAACAATGCACAAGAACTTTTGTATGAATTTATTACATACCATATTCCAATTCAATCTTAGCAGTATTTAATCTTCGTCGCAAAGATTCTTCTGTTTCTGTTTTTCTTTTCTTTAATCGTTGTTCAAGTTCTTCCAATGATGGTGGTTTTATAAAGATATATCTAGCATTTAGAGAACTGTTTTTAATTTGTTTTACCCCTTCTATCTCAATATCTAATATACATATTTTTCCTGTTCGTTGAACATTTTCTACAGCAAGTTTACTAAAAATAACATAAATTTGATACTTCTTGTTAACGTATTTAAATAATGTGGTACATTTATTCAAAACATTTCAAATTTCTTACCTGGTTCCATATAAGTTTCCGCTATATGTAGCGGTCTCAATAAATTCACCATTTTCTATTTGTTTCTGCATTACTTCTTTACTTGTAAAATAATAATGTTTGCCATTCTCTTCACCAGGTCTTGGAGCTCTAGTTGTATGTGATACAGAGAATCCAAATTTATCTGGAAATTCCTCGAATAGACGATTCAACAAAGTACTTTTCCCACTTCCAGAAGGGCCCGCTATTACTAACGGACAACAATCTTTTTGCAACATTGTACAAAGTCCTATAAAAGAATATAATAATAATAATAATGATATTCACGCTAATTAATGATTTTATAATATTACGTAATATCACAAATTAAACAAATGAACAATATAATTAAATCAATTATTGACTGTATTATAAAATCTAAATCTGCATACCTATTTTATGAATGTTTAGCAATTTCATGCAATATGATGTCATTGTGTATTGTGGTATGGAAAAAAATCTTAATGCAAGACGAATCATATTTTTTTTTTTTTAATACTACAATATATTCTTCACTTTTTTCTATAATACTAACACAATTAATTTTTTACTAAATCACTAATAAATTTGTCATGCATGAACAAAATAGAACCTTATCCACTCATTTTATAATATTACACAACATAGCAACTGCAAATACAAATAAAATACGGAATATCAACGAGTCTAATTGTGAAAATAAAATCAAGATTTAATAACAATTAAAATTTTAATAAAAAATTGAAACGGAAACAATTACACCACGTGATGATCTTGAACAATGAAAAATTCAATTTCTTTCCTTTAAGGTATGCAATATGTTAAAGGATTTTACGCAGTGTTGTCAACGTAAAGAAAATATAATTATATATTTGTATACATATTATAAAATGAAGATCATTAAGGTTCGTCCTTATATTTGATTATTTCTTATGATCTAATTAAATAACAAATAACGTTTCAACTTACTGTGAACTTGTAGGCGTTCGTTTAACAAGTAACCAGAATGTATCTAACCTATAGAAAAATAATAAATTGAAATTTTTTTAATTATATAGAACTATATAATTTTGTTACATTAAAATAAAGAATCAACGAATTAAAAATAATTTAGGTCATTCTTTCTTTTTCTTTTTTTTCGTTAAAAAATATTAGTCTAGTGCCGGCTGTTCGTCACACCATCACAGTATTGGTACGACGCAGTATTAGATCAACGAAAATGGTTATGCGCATGCGCATTTGTTTACCGCAAATCAAAGGATTACCTGCGATTCGTTTATCGATTATTTTTGCGATCGTACGTATACCTACGATTATGAATGACATAATGTAAACATATTATAATATAATTAACTTGTTTTTATTCGTTATTTCAAAACTTCGTATTAATTACGAAGCAAAATACTATTGTATCGATAGAATGTTTTTATCTAGTGAAAACTAACCTATATAACAAAAGCAAGCTAAAAATACATAGGATGTTTTTTAAAAATTTAAATTATACAATAATATAATTTCTAATATTTTAAGTTATATTTTTAAATTGAAGGAAAAACAGATATATAATAATTAAATGTGTTGCTTTTAAATATACAAAAATAGTCTATCTATCTCTTTCAGTCATATTTATTTCTAATGAAAGTTTGTAAACAGTAACCTACTCAAATGAAATCTAATCTAATCTAATCTTTGTATTTAATTTTTTACTCTAAATTATTTGCAATTGAATAGATATTATGTTTATTAAAGAACAGGTTCAATCATTTTGCTTAAAACTAATTTATAATCATTTGTAAATGAAAATGATAGATATTAGATTACAAATATTAATTGATTGGCAAAATAATAATGTGGAAATTGATACTTCTAAAAAAACAACATTATTAATTAATATTAATATATGTAAACGTTTATACCATACAGACAACGCGATTTGCACTCGATGAAATCCAATAGAAGACTGACTCAATAAATGCTAAAATATTCACTTTCTTATAATGTTTTTAAGCACTTAATTCAGTTTCTCTTATTATAATACATTCACATTTTTTTATACTTATGAAATATAAATAAAAGATGAACTTTGTTCATCCTTTATGATTCTTTGTTAAAACCAGAGGTAGACAAGCAACAAATTTTTCTTTCCATTGTTAAAATAATTCACATAAAATACATTGTTGAAGAAGTACAGTACAGTAAATTGCTTATGAAGAATTCTCGCATTTAAGGGATTATAAGTTGAAAAATTTGATTTACAAAAAAGAACAAAAAATTAGATAGAATATATACATATAATTATAAGACATTGATTTGCATAGATGTTAAAGACTTTTGGAGCAATTTTATTGATATTGAAACATTCTACATAATATTAAAGCTGATGAGAGACTGTAAATGAATAATTTTGTCTACACTATAAATGTTTAAAGCTTATGAAGAAAAATTATAATTTATAACAGAGCGTTTATATACTTAATTTTCAACATTGCACGAATAATACTATAGATTCATATCAATAAAATATATCTTCTGTTATATTTAGATTTACATTCACTTATAGACTTATGTATGTTATGTATATATATCTATATATATATAGTCTTATTTAGCAAGATTGACGTAGGAAATATATTTTAAAAAGATTGTTTTTTCTTTCTGTTTTTTTTTCGTTTAATAATATAGGAATCTTTGACTAAAACTTAAAGATTTAGGCATTAATATTAGATCATTTTAAAATGTCTATATATGGCAATATGTATACGTACATGAAAGTACGCAAAGGTACTAAATGAAAATGAAAAGTATAAATAAGTATCACATTAAGTTCACTGTCACTGATTTGTAAACGCTTCTTACTTATTTTGTACATAATTAATTTAATAATAACAGTGATAGTGCCAATAGAAACATTTAGCTTCTCTTTTCTTGTACTTTAAATTATCTGGCTTGTACATGTCAAAATTTCCTCTTTAAAATTCTTTTAGGTAATCTGTAATTACTTCTTGTTTTCATCTCTTTTTATTTTATCTAACTTATTTTAAAATTGAATTTTAAATCTCTGTAGGACCTGGTTTAGCTTGTGTTCTACGACGTGCTAATTCTGATAAAACAACAGGCCCGATATGAGGTGATCTTGGACTACTTGACATTGCTCTATACGTTGCTGCAACTGCCATCTACAAAATTTAAATATATGAAATAAAATGAATAATGATTATGTACAATAATAAATATCAAAATAAAGTACAATTTGATTTGAAGAAAATACCTTTAAACTATGTGGATCTGTATTGATGTCAGGTAATATTTTTTGAGGAAGATGATGACGATTTGCAACCCATGGATATTTTAAAATAAGAGCTGCTGTAGGCCTACGATTAGGGTCGACGTGTAACATTCTCTTGACCAATTCTTTGGCTTCCACTGATATTTGACACCAGACACCGCTTTCTACATCTATATATCCAGGTCCAATATGATTAAGTATATCCGTTGCACTATCCCCTGGTCTATTTCGGAAAGGTGTGTATCTGTAATAAAATATTATGTTTAATGAATTTAGTTTCAAATATTATTGTGTTAAATATTTTGAAATTAATAAATTTCATACCCAGCCAGCATAATATATAATAAGACACCTAAAGACCAGATATCACAAGCAGTATCATATCCTTGCCGTTTTAATACTTCAGGTGCAACAAAATTGGCTGTATAACATGGTGTCATTAATAAACCATTTTCTGCACGTAACTGTTTAGCAAATCCAAAATCACATATGCACAATGTACTTGGATCGCCACCAGGTTTTGAAAATAATATATTTGATGGTTTCAAATCACGATGAACTACCTGAAATATTCATTATTTAGATTACAGATATATATTATTAATAGAAATAGTTAACTAAAATAATGAGATAAATATTTACTCCATTATCATGTAAATAATGAACTACACTAGTAATTGTGTATATCACTTCGGCAGCTTCCTTTTCTGTAAAATTACGTCTTTGTAATAATCGATCAAGAAGTTCCCCACCTCGCAAAAGTTCTAATACAAGATAAACTCTTCTATCATCTTCATGAACAGTTCTTAGGGTTACGATATGTGGATGCCTTCCATATCGTAACAGTATTTCTATTTCCTCTGATGGATCTCGTTTTGTTTTTTCAATCACCTATTGTACAATCACTTTTTATTATATATAATAAGTATAAATTGAAATAATTATTAAATACAAATAAATTACCTTAATAGCATATTCAGTTCTAGTTGCCTTATGAACCGCTAGATAAACGGTACTATAAGTTCCTTTACCTATTTCATGTTTAAATTCATATTCGTCTGTTACTAAAATAGGATTGACATTAGCAGGGAAAGTATTACTAATACTATCGAAGTTTTTGTACTCTGGAGATTTCGTATGTTCTTCTAGCAAACAGGGTGCAACGAAACTAAATCCACGAAACAATTCATGAGCATTTGCACTAGGAGGTACACCGGGAGAATCTAGAAAAAATAATATTTTATTTTAAATAAGAATATATACTTATTGTTAACCAATTAATCAACAAATTAAAAAAAATATATTGTATATTATTACCTCTAGGAGTTTTACATGTAAATTCACTATCAAAATAAAATGCATCATCCTCTTGACTAACAGCTGGTTTGAATGGGGGTCTTATCTCTTTCCTATAAAGAGCATCCCAATCAATTGTTCCAAAAAATATATGATTTTTAATTTCTTCTACACCACCTAAGTAAACGTGTATATATTTATGAAAATTAATAAAATTAAATATTTACAGAAGATATAGATATGATATAGTTAAAATAGAAAATAAATTTGTCAACATTACCAGATCCAAGTCTATTAGCTGGATTTCTTTTAAACAATACTCGTAATAATGCTCGGGCTTCCAGTGATGTATTAGAAGGCATGGTAAGTTTAGCTTTTAATATTTGAGTCATAGTTTCTTTTCTATTAGCCCCTTGGAATGGTAGTGCACCCGTTAACATCTCAAACTGAAAATGACTATTTACTTAAAAGAAAAAACAATAAATAAATTTAAATGATTTTTTTTTAATAACTAACCATGAGGATACCAAAACTCCACCAATCTGCAGCATAAGAATGCCCTTTTCGATTAACTATTTCTGGCGCCATATATTCGATAGTACCACAAAATGAATATGCTTTAGAATTATCCAACGATTGTTTACTTAAGCCAAAATCAGTTAAAGAGATATGCCCTTCAGTATCCAATAAAATACTGTAACAAATATAATGAATAATAGATGAAATGATATTATCTAAATATGTTAATGTATTAAAATCATTTTAATTTGATTTATAATGAAATACAAACTTTTCTGGTTTCAAATCGCGATATATGATACCAAGTTTATGTATGTGATCCAATGCAAGTGCAAGTTCAGCAAGATAAAATTTGACATCTTCTTCCGTAAACATGACCTGTAAAATTATTTTTAGAAAAATATTGATTCTAGTTTCTATTTACAAACATGATATATTGAATAATATATATATATGATAATTGTTATACTAATTAATATTTTAGATAATTATCATTCTTAAGTGCGTATTTACAATTGTGCAACTATAAGAAGATATTTGTTGATAAAAATGAAAATTAAAAGAAAAATAATCATACAAATGGTACTTAGTTAGCTTGTTCAATAACCTCTTTGGATAGTCTTGTAAAAAGATCACCACCTCTTAGGAAGTCTAAGATCAAGTACAGTTTGCCCTCTGTCTGGAATGCATAGTGTAGTCGAACAATGAATGGATGCTCCACATCAACCAATATATTTCTTTCCATTTTTGTTCTTACTCTGTCTCTGACTAAGATACCGTGATCATAATTAGAGTGAACAATAGTGAAAGAAATATTCAATCGTTATAATAATAAATAAAAATACCTTTTAAAGTTGCCTTTCTAAGAACCTTCATGGCATATAGCGTACCACTATCCTTTCCTACAACTTTACGTACTAAAAATACCTGAAACACATTATCAACCGTATATATATATAACAAAAATAAAGAAATATAATTAAAAATAATAGATTAATGTTGAAATTATTGTTTACCTTGCCAAAAGAACCTTGACCAAGTACTTTTAATAATTCAAAATGAGATGGATCAGCTTTTTCGTGACCATCTCGAACCACCTCACGTACTTCAATTTCATGGGACTCCGAACACCCATTTGAATGTGACTCAATAATATTTCCTTGAGTAATCATTGTTTCTTCTTGATTCTCATCAGAAAGAATTTCTAATCCTTGCTAAAAAAAAAAAAAAAAAAATAAAATTGAACTAGTTCCCGAATAGCAAATGCATGCAAATTCGTTCCTTGATTTAATAATTTAATAAAAAAAAAAAAAAAAAAAAAATTAAATTGAAATAAATTGTAATATAATTTTAAGAAGAAAAATTGTTCTTAAACGATTATATATATATACATATGTATATATATATATATATATATATATATTAATTGTAAAGTGAATGAAAATTTGATGAATAGTTAAAGTCAATTGAATAATAAATTGAATAATTTTACCTTTTCATTTACATGTTGTTCTGTCCAAGGAACCGTCAGATTCGCTAAAGGCATTATATTCACATTTACTTCCAAGGTCGTATAGGATTAAGGAAAATAGTTATGGTACTGTCACTTCACTATAACGTTGTAACATTTAGTTAATGCTAAAAAATATTTTCTCTGGTCCATATAATATCTGTATATAAACAATTAAAAAAAGTTCTTCCGTACATTCGCGGTTAGGACTAAGAGAAGTATGTATAGTTTATGCGATAAGTATCGACCACAGATAACGAATTAACGCGAACGCTTTTAGACGAGATCCTCCATTTAAACCGGAAGCTTGGTCTAGAGAAAAAGCGATAATGAGAGCGCATGTTTTAAATACAATCATCTACCATCCGTTTGTTAGTATTCATTAAATACATCCGCTAATTACTTAACATAAAATGATTATTCTTCATTGTTACAAACGAACCCTTACCCTCCTATTCCCCCTTCATAACTACCATCAATAATGAATTGTATTTACACAATGTGTCTTTTAAGTGACCAAAAATTGTGACGACATAGTCCGAGAACATTTAAATATTTATTATTATTATATTTTATTAATTGTTTTTAACTCGAAAAAAACACGTATAATTTATTTGTTCAAGATATAAATATCATCCTGATAAATTAGAACTCATTTTAATTACTTATTTCTGGATTACTAACATTGTTACAACTGGCGCCATATTTTATATGAAATTAATTTGACAGCAGTGCCACATCGTGTGAGAATAAACAATTAAACTTAATGTGTC